ATGGATGGATGGATGGATGGATGGATGGATGGATGGATGGATGGATGATGGATGGATGGATGGATGAATGATTGACAGATGGATGGATGGATGGATGGACGGATGGATGGATGGATGGATGGATGGATGGATGGATGGATGGAAGGATGGATGGATATAGATATAGATATAAATATACATTGACATGGATACAGATAATAACAAAAACACTGTGTACATTTTTGTACTCGATGTAGTGAAATGCAAACTGTAATATGAGCTTCAAATTTTAGGAAAGACAGATGTGTGAACTAGGTCCAGACATGTGAAAGGCAGAATCAAAACTATGGAGATTCTACACCAAAGGGGGTCGTAGAAGTGTGGACTGTTGTCTTACAGTTGCTAACTAGCTAGCGGCTAGCTAGCAGCTAGCTAGCCGCCCTTTTTAAGTGATGTTATTGGACTCTAGAGGTCCTATAGTTGTGGAGGAAATCTTCCTCTTCACTCTTCATCTTCTGTGTAAAAACCAAACCTCGTTTGAAGCTGTGGACCCAGACAGGTCAATACTTTATAATGCAGAGATTTATTTATGACTGTCACCCTAACTTGGTTAGGATCCTTAAAACGCTCCGTATTGACAGAATGAGACAAACCAGAACAGTTGGAGCTAATTAACTGGACTGGATCTTTAGGATGAGGTATCTGGACCACATCTTACAAAAAAAAACAATCAGTTTAGTTCTCTTAATTCAAATTTCATTTCATTTAATTTCAAACTGCCTTAAATATGTCACAGTTATGGCTGGAGACAGTAAATCATGCTAAAAAGTTATAATTATTCCAGGGATGACTATTTGAACCCTTTAAAGCCCGATCCAAGAATAAAACAAAACAGAAAATGACTTTTTTTTGGTTTGAAGTCTTTATTTGGCCTTAGACAAAATATGTCAAAAGAAAAAACAGAAATAAAATTTTAATATTAATAATTTATTACTATGCGATAAGTCCAGATTATTTTTTGTGTAGTCTTCTGCCCCCTGTTATCAGGTGTATCTGATTGTGTACAATAAGATTTTGAGCAAAGTTTTTACCATTAAATTATGCAAAAGGAGTCAGAAGTAAAACATTTCAGAAACCGTATCTATCAAATATGATACATTTGGCATTATAAGGTTAAACCTGGGTGTGTGTTAGGTGTCTTTTGTGGAGTATGGAGTATTTCAACTATATTTAGACAAACTTGCTTAGTTTAATATTTTTAGGAAAGATTCAAAAATTAAATTGAATCAGTCAGGAGTTCGAATGTGTATGTTTTTTTTTTACATTTGATTGTATAGAAAATCCTCGGTGTCCTGAACTAAACCCAACTAGAGCCACTCTGTCACCTCCTGCTATTAATGATGTGCCCAAATTACACATAATCATTTGTCATTTAGATCATCTTATAATGGAGCTGTGCGCCTTCCATCCAAACACATCACATTGTGAAAACCCAATTATGTGTCATTTGTGAAGAGTAGGTGTAATGGCCGGCCCTCTTTGTAAAGGCATATATGTTTCCTTCTCATGGTCTTTACTGTTCCTGTTTTCTTTAAACCAGAGGGGCCATTTCTAAAGCCATTGTTTGGAGGATTAATTCAAAGTTGGTTACTTTCTTAGTAACCTACTTCAGAAAC